ATTTTCAGATTTGCGTTTAATTGCAGCTGTCACAATATATTTTTGGGTATTGTTTTTCGTATGAGATTAGTCAATACTGTGCCCAGGATGACAAACCTGGATAGGTATTGCATTCGCTGGTTTGTAATCTGTTTAGTTGCAAATGCTCTCTCCCAGGACTAACCGGTGAATTCTAAGTACTAGGTAGGATAAGTAAGGTTTTGGTCTGAAAGATCGGTTGGACTTTTTCCTTGTATTTCTTGTTTGCGTTTTCTATTGCAGTGATCTAAACTATCTCTTAAGCGCACCTTGGAAAAAAACATGATAACGGAATGTTAGTTCTACTCGACGGCTTTCGGTATTTCCACATTGAATTTCTGATCAATGAAATAAACAGATGACAGAGGCCAGATAATGACAGACGCCTTCAGACATTTTCTTCCGTTTTTATTCTTACAAAAGACTCTAGGTTTATATAAAATTACCAAAGTATAGTGTAATATCGCATGATGGAGGTATTACAGATATGTCAAACTAAGGATAATGAACGTGTAGTCTTATTAATAGTTATATAATGTATGGCTAATCTGTGGCAGAGCAGTAGCTTCCCCTTAGAATGCAATGAGACGAACCTTCTCTGTTCACACGCCCACTTTTTTGTAATTACAACAAAGCATTGTCGTCCTCAGGGATAGCTGCGAGTACGCTGACTGACTTAACTAGGAAGCCCCTCTACGCGTCCCACAAACGATCTCTACGCGTAAAAGGGACTTCAATTGGGGGTGTTCTGGTATTTTACACAACTGCCTGTCACGAAAGTCACACAAAGAAGCAGTCTTTGCAGGCTGCCGCCAGTCCCCTTAGTCAAAGCAGCAGTTCTTGACCTTTGCTCTTAAGTTTAAAGCAATTTTGATCATTTTAGGCGAAGAGTTAGCCGCTTAAACACAAGTTAATCAATGAAACTCCTATTCTTACCCTTAAACCGGAGGCTAGTCTCAGTTAAGCCGACTGAAAAAGAGTTTGCACTCAGTAGCTGATATGACTTAGAATCGCCATATAACCCGGAGCAGAGGTATGTTCGGATCTGGTTGAAGTGAGAGTTGTCTTTTTGACCTCACTAAAACAGTGGATCCAGCTATCCTCTCAGTATACACCCCTTGAAGTCACCAGTTTAGCCTTCATAGCCGAGGTAACCGATTCAAATTTTCCATACTGAGAAGTGCGCTGACCTATTATACATACGGGATGTCTAAATATCGAATAGTCTTCCCGCTATCTCATTCTTAACGCTTTCATCCTTTTTGAGCACATGGGACGATTGATATTGCGACTAGATGTAGCGACCAAATTGGCGCCGTAACCTCTATGTGCGACCGTCACACATGACCCTGTCCACTGCCGTAAATGAAAAGACTTTATCCAAGTACAAAAGTGATATGTGTGCAAGCCCATGAACAACAGTTTTACCGCCATAGCAACGCCGGAAAATCGCATTGTCTACGTGCTTTCTGTTTTGCTCATCGAAGATAAGACCGCGTGCCACATT